GTGGTGGGAAGCCCTGCAACGCAAGTATCGGTAGGCTTGTCATACCAGTGCTGATGTGGACTACACAGTTGTGTATATAATATATATACTACTTTCTTATTCATTCTGATTGAGAGCTGCAGCCTCTTCGAAGAAGACATTCCTCTCACAGCTTGACAAGCATCCTTGCTCATACTCATTGGTGATCACATAGCTCCTGGTCGCATCTACTTCGGTCGTGTTCATAACTGCATTCCCAAACCGATGGACTCTTAAACCACCAGTCCATCCGAAGTTGCTGTTCACCCGCGTTAACATACGAGTACCGGAGCTGGGCCACCTGGCCAAGCAGCTCGGCCAAGGGCCAGTAGACCTATGTGGATGAAGTGCAACTTCGACCCCCAAAATATCTATGGGAGGCCTAATGACTTTTCAATGAAACAAAGGCCGGTACTGGTACCGTGTTGATTTTTCCAAAGGCCAGTACCGATAAATTTTAGGCTCGATAAAATGCATTTTTTGGTTTTGCTGATTTTTAGCTTCGGATCGACGACTGCTCGTTTACGCTCCGGGAACTCTTCATGGCAATCATATCGAGTTTGCTATCGCTGTCAAAACACATGTCAAAGCGATCAACAACGATGGAATTGAAATGCTCGCCCACTGTCCTTCCATTCACTCCATACTGCAGCTCACCCTCCATTCCAACAAACATAGATTCCAGACACAAAAAAAAGGGCATAGATTCCAGACAAAAAAAAAAAAAAAAAAAAAACGCCCAGGTTGTTGTAGAGGTCGGAGTCAGATGCTGAAAGACCCCCCCTGGACTCAGTCATTTGGAGTTCGGACAGCCCACTTAGCTTCCTGGAGCACCCATATACAGAGTACCTTTTCAGTCCTATTGCAAGTCGTGTCCCTTCAACAACATCAACATCAGATCAGATGCTGAGCTCAATCTCAAAGCTGTAGATCAGGCACAGGCCTCCAACCAACCATCCCATCCCTGCTGTATCATCAACCGAAAACTTCCGCCCACTAAATGAAATGCAGAATAAATTATGGCTCATAAGACGCATGTAAAGACAACTACGCACGGCGGCAGTCAGATATAGCAAAGAACGACACAATGAAGGGGAGCAAAGTATCTGAGTTCCAAAAAGAATTCTCTTTTGCAGACGTGAGTCATGCGACCATGAAATCGAACGTTTGGGACCCAAAGACTTGCCTAGAAGATTTCAAACAACCAGCGAAGCTGTTTTCCTCTTTGAGTAATAATTAAACCTATTCCGGACGAATCAAATCTTTTTTTTTTTTTTTTTTTGACGTTCCCAAAATCCATACTAGTGTGAAATATGCCCTTACCTCCATCCATGCTTCCAGAGATGAGGCAGTTGAGCTTATGGAAATTCTTCGCCATGCATGAGACTCCGTCCATGTGGCCATCCAGTGCGGCAACAAATGGCTTAGCAAAAATCTATGCGACGACAAAGCAACAAGGGGAAAAAAAACAGTGGGATAGTAAGTAAGAACGTACACACACACGCCAGGACTTTCCTGGATGTATCTGACTGCAATTGTGGCCGATCCCGGATGAATCTGACTGCAATTACATTCAAAGATCAGTCAAACAAGTCCTTATGCCCTACGTTGTCATCATACTCGTTTATTCCACCAAAAATAGAACACACAGTTTATTCCACTAAAAATAGAACACATAGTTATCCTGGTTGTGCATCTTTTGCGCAAGAGGGGTCGCAATCCCCATATGCATTTATTCTTTCTTTCTTTTTTTGGTGCAACCAAGAAACTTTATTAGAAGTCAGAAAAGGGGAGGCCGGGATTCCCTGAATCGTAACATACTGGAACCATTACCCAGCTTAGGTGTGCAGGTGTTGGTATTTGTCCAATGACAGAGTTGGCGAATCGGCCAAAGCGCGACCGCTGACGTGATATTCACCCAATCCTGGGAACAAAAACCACCACAAGGCCCTCAAAGCTACACAAACCAAAAAGTCATGCATTTATTCTAGGAATGACAGTGGTTTTCAATAATGAGAAGAACAAAGGACACATGTCGATCCACCCTGACCCTTCCAGAAACCCCCTCTCC